CAACTAGTATTACAATGATTATGTAAAATAACCTAGTTGTTAAACGGAAATTTTAGAGAAAACTACCTGTGTCCATGTCCTGGTTCTTTACTAATTAAGCAAGTTACTAATCAGTATTACTAATTAAGCAAAATTTTAGGTCTTGATACACCCTGCTTTTTACATGGAAATACCAATTTTCATTTTCACATTAAAAGCAAAAGCCAAACCCTCACTACCACAGCCATATAAGTCGGTTCTGACTCCACAACAATGAGTTTGAGGTTTCATTGCTGTTGTTGTTGAGTGTCAGTGCTCTCTGCTTTTGACATGGAGTGAATAATTTTAATTCCCTCACAAGATTTCTGTGGGACTTAACTAAGTAGATAAAATTTTAGATCATGAAGACAATCTAGCATGTTGTTGTTGTTGTTGTTGCTGCTGCTGCTGCTTTTGTTAGTTAGGTGTCTTGAATGAATTCTAAATGATAATGATCCTGCATCAAAATCCTGCAGAATCGGGGGAGGGGTGGGCAGGGAGGAAAATGTGCAACAATGAATGAATGGATTAAAATAAAAATAAAAATAAATCCCAAAAACTTGCAGGAGCCTGTCCTACCCTCACAATCTGTTGTCCTTAGCCCATTGTCAATCTGTTTCCTTGAGGGTCTTTCTGTCTTTTGATGATGCCCCTAGTTTTCCAAGTATGAGGTCTTTTTCCAAGGACTAATTCTTCCCAATAACATGCTGAAAGCATGTAAGAGGAAGTTTCACCGTTTCACTATCCCTGTTTCTAAGGAATGCTATAGACTCTTCATGTTTTGTCATATTTTTTTCTTTATAGCCATGGTCAGAATCATAAACTTAGATTAGTTTATTTATTGTACACTCTTAAAATAAAACAAAAAAGAAATCACTAAAATTTCTCTTTCACTGCTGGAGGGTCAGCACATAACAAGACTATATTCCAGATATAGTCTGGATGAAATAAAATGTCATAGGGCACTTCCTTCTCTTTACCACACTTAGTTTCTTATTCTCTAGAATTCTTTCACAGTTTTTAAAGATTTTATAATGTCTCTCAGCAGAATGTGGACATTATTAGACAATAGCACTAATATCATACGTGAGCAAAATATTGCTGAAGATCATCCAAAAGTTATTTGAACAGTACATTGACAGAGAACTGCCAGAAGTTTAAGCAAGATTTAGAAGAGGCCATGGCACCAGTGATATCACTACTGATAACAGATGGATCCTCGCTAAATGCAGAAAAAATAAATGAATATGTGTGTGTGTGTGTGTGTGTTTTATTGACTATATGCAAAGGTATTTAACTGTGTAGATCATAATGAACTATGGCTAACATTGAGAAGAATGGGAATCTCAGAGCATTTAATTATGCTTATACAAAACCTGCTTAGACCAAGAAGCTTTTGTCTGAACAGAGCAAGGGAAACTGCATGGTTTAAAATCAAGAGAGGAGTTTGTCTGGGATGTATTCTTTCTCCATACTTATTCAATCTGTATGCTGAACAAATTATTTGAGAAGCTGAACTTTGTGAAGAAGAATGTGGCATCAGGATCAGAGAAAGCTCCATCAACAACCTGAGTTTTCAGATGACACAATTTTGTTTGCTGAAAATGGGAAGGACCTGAAACTCTTGCTGT